GTCACATGACCAGGTCAAAGCTAATGCTTCACGCTCGATTTGTGCGTGACGTTGCTCTGTTTTTGACAATAACCTGGATGCTTAAGAAACGGATTTCTTATTTTCTTTTACATCTTTTTGAATAAGACATGAACCGATACCAAATGAAGAAGCATCAGCAAACATTATAATTTTTTGGCTGGGATCAAAATATTCCAGACAAGAATTTTCTTGTAATAAATCTTCAATTGTTTTGAAGACTCGTTTCTGAGCATGGTTCCAAGTAAATGGAACATTTTTCTTTAATAAAGAAGTTAGGGGTTCCAACACATCAGATCTATTCTGAATGAATCGATACAAAAAAATTATCATACCTAAGAAACGTAGAAGTTCGTTTTTATCAGATGGTTCCGGAAATTTGTCCATAGCATTTATTCGCTTGAAGTCTACAGAACTTCCGTTACTAGATGGAATGACCTAAAAATTCTAAAGACATTTTTCTTTATTCAAAGTTATACCTTCTTTATAAATTCGAGTTATATCTTCATTCAGTAGTTTATTGTGCTGTTCAATTGTCGTTGCAAAAATGAGAATATCTATCATCAATATGGAAAATTACTTGATTTAGTCCTTTTAGAATTTTATTCATTAACATAGAAAAATACTCGGGTGCACAAGTTATTCCGAATGGTAACCTTTAAAATTTGAAATGGCTAAATGGTGTTATGAAACAAGTTAAATCCTGACATTCTTCATCTAGTTTAATTTGATGAAAACCAGAAGTAGTGTCTATACGACTAAAATACTTAGATAGAAAAAAATGAAGGGTAGCATTTAAAGAAAATTCAAATGCTACAAAACTTAATTGTTTTATTGGTTTACCTATACGCCAAGATTTGAGTTGTGTGCATTATTTATTTCTTTTTCAGAATTACCTATTACCATTTGCTGATTATTTTCTAGGTGTGTTTCTGAATGTTCACTCTATATATATTAAGAAATTTTAATATTAATTAAAAAAAAAAAAAATCAGTGGCGCCCTTGCCATTCTGTACTGATTAAACTATCAACCCACACCTAATAGTTTTTCGCTGAGCAAACCGATCATATTATGAGCCTCTTGTTAATTCATTAACAAAAGGGGTTACACCGCGCATGTATCCCTTTGTGTTCTGCAAAGCAACGGACAGCGGAAGTAGCGAGACACAAAAGAGGAGTAGGCTAAGCGAATCTTCCTGAAACACTACCCGGCGGAATGATACTAATTCAGTCTACACCTTGGTTTTATCCATACCTATATTAAATCGGGTCTTCCAAAGTGGCATCATTCCTAAAATTTATCTCGCTCCGGAATCTGGCACCGCAAGGCCTCTCTTCTTATGATAACTCTGTGCCATGTTTCGAAAATAGGCATCCTGCTTCGTGAACCTATATTTTATTTTCATTTTTGCCCGCCCCGGCTTCTAAAGAGCATTCGGCCGAATAGCGGATCGGCAATAACTGACTGGGCGTATACATTATAAAATCGGATTTTTCACTGCTAAGGCCCAACGTTCGACTTTGGTAGAAGTCGAGTGTTACAGCGGTTCGAAGCTGGCTTTACTGGGTTAGTCAATAGTTTATTCTGCCAAAAATTTTCAGTTAGCTTGATTTTTGTGGACATCTATGCCAGAACGCGCGCCTTTTTTTGGTGAAAAAACTATCGTTCTATATTTTATGTAAACGGCGGATTTAAATTCATTTTATTATCCTCCAAACAACTTAATTTCTTTTCTTCAATTTCAAATTTATACCTAGTAGTATTTTATTACAGTCCCGAATTTCCGATTAGATAATTTAGCTGGCCCATAAATAATTTAAATTACATGTTTACTACCAGATAATATTGGAACTTGCTATGTAGATTGGTGGAATATATCACTTCTTATAGTCTATACTTCCAAGTTTAAAAGATGAATGCTTTTCGGCTATTTGGAGCGAGGATTTACTATAAGAAATTCGAAAATTATGGTACATTTTCTCTTTTATTTCTATTATTTTAATATACTTAACAAGGATTTTGTTTTCAGGGAAAACATTTACAAGTCAACGCTAACGCAGGAATAATCATAAGCAACCAAAGTTTAGTTCTACAAAGTGTCACGAGATCAACGGCAGGAAATTATACATGCGTAGGCTATAATCTTGAAGGAGAAGGAGAAAGTAATGCGTTTTATTTGAACGTAATGTGTAAGTGAGATAAAAATTATTGTTTATATGTATACTTCTTTTCTAAAAAAATAAAATGAATGACTGTCCTTGTAAACAAAACTCATTTACACAAAAATGAATTTATGCGTCCAGAAAACAGGCACAGAAAGTTTTGAAAAGAAGGAAGATAATTCGCTTTCTTTTGACTTTCTCCCTTTTTATGAACCACCTCTCGCGTTTATTTGGCTTTTTCATTTGTTTTTTCTTATATTCTATTATTTTTTAATAAATTTTGAAAACAATAATTGGCAGACAGTAGAAAAAAAAGTCTAAAAACTTCAGATATTTTTTATTCAAATCACTTTAATGGATATAAAATAAGTAATTGGAAGCTGCCTGAATGATCAATATACGTATAAGCTGCCCACTCTATTAGTCCTAGCGGTACGCAAAACAAAACGGCATTTCGGGTTACAAGCAAGCCACTTGACACAGTTGTTGTTGAGACCATATTGAACGATTTTACCCGTAGTGATTTTTGATTCGTCCCTTAGGGGTGGTTTTTGGGGGGTGGGTACCCCCAACATCAGAATGTCGCTATTAACGATCGATTTTGACTATCTTAGACTCGTTTTCGCACAATTTGGGGTCGCTTAGATCGAATTTTGAGTTGTTTTTACTATTAGATGCGAAATTTCTCATATCTAGGGGAATTAATACATTTTTTGAACCAAAATGTGAAAAATTAAAAACAATACAATTATGGCGATGCTAGAGTCGATTTCGACTAATTTGATGGTGTTGAATCGAAAAAAAATATCAAAATCTCATTTCGAGGAAAACTGAGGGGGCCAGACCCCCTTTAAAAAACTTTTTTTTTTTTTCAATTTTGAGTTTGATGTCGTTTTCGAGTAATGCGGTATCGCTGAGCTCGAATCTAATGCCAGATTAACTGTTACGGACTCAGGAAATGATTTCGAGCAGGATAAGGTTACTAATTTCTTGAGAAAAAAAAACGAAGCATAAATATTTTGAAGTCCGTGCTTAAACTTTTCCCTGCAGATCACCGTCCACATCCTCTTGAGTTTCTTCCGGAATTGTAGGCAAGGTTACACTGTAAGAAAAGGAAACAATTAGTATTACAAGGGTTTTTTCGTTCTTATTTTTCTTGCGCTAAAGAAAATATTTCTACAAACGTACGTCTGGTTCGAGCGCAGGAGCCTTTGCATGACTTGCATGCAGGTGTGCATTTGCACCTCTGGGTGCCACAGTTGGTGTTGCAACCACACCGGTCCAGCGCCGTGCATTCTGCCCAGATAGCTAGGTCGTCGGTCCATACCGGGATCCACTTGTCGTCCTGTAGAAACCAGCCCCGCGGATCCGGAGAGGAAGGTTTGGTGCCGTCGGCCGCTCTTCCCCAGACCTGTCCAGCCTGGTAAGCAGCGCGCAGGATGTGCTTCACTAAGGTGACTTTAGTAGTAGGGATAGCTTGAACTGGACGGCTTAGCGTGGCAAAAATGTACTGGCAGGCACCGACCACTGACGTAATTTCCTCGTCTTTAACACCGTACATTCTAACGATGAACTTTTCTTCGTCACATCAAATCATCGGGCAATGGAAGATCAAACGGTTGGCTCAGCTTATAGAAGGCGTTCGTCTCTTCATGTTTGCCAGGCAGAGAAGGCAGTTCGCTTCCCACGTGATGCAAACTAGCTGACAGTGTCACACCCAGTCAGACAGTGAAAGAAAGCGGAGAGCCGTAGCCTTTTTCTCTCCTAGGGTAGATGCTACATCGTGTGCAGCCACGTAGTGACGATCTTTGCCCACTCCGAATAAGACCCACAGTTCCTTCAATCCTTTTTTTTTTAAGTTCATGAAAAAAGGAAACCGCCAGCACAAGTACATCCGTGTCACTACTGCGGATAACAATTCGTCGAACACTACTACACGCAATGTCTATTGCATGGAGAATAATTCTTCCATCGGCCTCCTCCAAGCCTTCAAGAGAGATGTCACGGAGAAGAGAGCCGTACCTGTGACCTGTACCTGTACCTGTGACCTGTACCTAGAAACGAAATAAATTAATATGTCTATAAATATCTCATAAGGCAAGGCAACGGTGGTGGTCGTGTGGGTTAACTGGACTACATGGGAAACGTTGATGGTAGACCGGGTTCGAATCCTGGCTAGACCGAAAATTATTTTCAGTCAGACATTTAGTGGCTGCCTAGGCTAAAGTGCAAATTAATAAAACTACAACAACAACAAAAACACCTCAGGGCGTTATAGATCATAACGCCCGCTTTTGGATCAGGTTGTTATAGGTATGTTAACGTATTTCATTTCCTAGGTATTATGGATCTATAATAGTTAAGTAGAAAATGAAGTTTTTTTTTTTTTTATTGCAGTAGGCGAGAAATGTAAACTGTTGTTGTTTGTATTTATTTCTACCTTTCGTGGGAAGATTCTGGCGCCAAAGTCCGACTCCGCGGCTCTTCCTAGTAAACCCTTTCAAGCCGGATGTTGAGTACATGTCCCAGACAACGTCTACGCGCTGCACCGCTAGCTTGTTTGCAAGGTTTCTAATGTGGCTAGCTAAGTAAGCTGCATAATCCTTGAAAGAGTTCGTAGTGGCAGGGGGAAAGACAGAGTGAACCAGTACAGGGCCGTCAAGGATCAAGGCGTCACTTGAATTAGGAGGTGAATTGCCCAGAGGTTTGATCAATGTTTCCAATATGTCCGCAAGATGATACTTTACCCCGCTTCGCATAACACCATTTAAGCTTATAGAAGGAGCTTTGGTTTTCAAACTCAAAAAATTTCTCCAAATTCAGGTCCCGGGCAGTGCAGACAATGAAAAGTCGCGAATAAAGCTGCATGGCAGATTTGAGTGTTTTGAGCAGCAGTGCACCTTGATTCTCCTTTTTTTTCCGAATATAACAAAGCTGCACTTTTTAATCGGATCAAAGATTTTAGTTTTAGTATTGTTAACAAGCCTGTCCTCTACAAAAGATTTTACCAAGGCTGTTCCTTTAGCTTCAGCACTCATGAGTTCTTGAGCAACACTTTCTTCCATCACAACTCGTGACACATCAATAACCAAGAGATTGGGATCGCTAACACTGAACGGATTTTCATACTCGTTAAAGATATCTCTCAGTGCCGTGCACATGTCAAGAAAACGTGTTTGATAAGACGTGGTCTGCTCGTGGTGAATTTCAAGCTCGTCATCTTCTTCTTCTGGACAGTTTCCAGAGTTAAACTCGTGTAGGAGTCTGGATACTTTGGGAGCTCCAACAGTGAATCTCCTCAATGCAGCAGGGTGATGAGTTAGTCCCACGGCCCCCCCAGAGCTCTTGAGTTCTTTGTTGTTTTGCTCGTGGCGGTGGTCGATGCCCACTGCTGAGTCCTTTTTTCCAGTTGCGTTAACAGTAAATTTCCCTGCCAAAACAATACATTAAAATTTCTTTCATAGCTAAGTGAGAAAATAAATTTTATCGTAAGACAGTTTTTATTGGTTAATTTAATTGTATCCTTACCCAAAAGAAATTGTTGGTGAAGTTCGGGTGCTTTTTCTTCTAATTCCTCAAGATTCATAGAGTGCACTTTCAACCATCGTGCATAGTTTTGACGATCAAAGAGGAAAAACCAAGGTAACATTCGATGAAGGCACTCTTTATACAAAAGGAAGTTACTCTGCCTTATTGACTTCACAAAGGTTGATAGAAGAATGTGATGATTTAGGACTTGAAGCCAATAATAGAAGGTTGGATTTTCCTTGCCTCTTTCTAGGACCCATAGATCAACATCTAAATTGTCAGGATCGTCATTTTCGTAAGCTTCAAGAAGCAAAGTATGCAAGACAGATGCTGTCACCTGATGGACCTCTCTTGCTCTCTTAACGTGAGTGACCTGTTGAATAAGAAAAAAGTAAACCAAACTGAAAAACCTAATAATGGTTGTGTATCTGCGTATATGTGTGTGCACGGGCTCGTGTGTGCGTGTGTGTCTGCCTGTGTGCGTGTTTGTCTGTGTGCGTATCTGCGTGTGTGCCTGCGTGTGTGTATTTGTGTTTGCGTTTGTACCCGTGGGATTTGTCTGTCAGTGTGGGTACAAATACGTGCTCACCTTCAAAACCGCATCAGCTGCACCTGAAGTTTTGATGTCTGAATTCACCACTATAGATGTTCAACAAGAGTTTTCTAGGAACGAGCCCAATACACGAAGAAAGTTTATTTCAATGTGAAGTGGTCTAAACATAAATGGTAATTTATCCTCGCCATACTTGTGTGGAAAATTCCACTGCAGTAACTTTCCAATGGCAAAAAAGGGTTGGTCAACGCCAACAACAACAGGTTGATCACCATTTAAGTGCCTTGTGATAGAGGTGATTAAATCTACTCCATGTTTGATAGTTGCTGGATCGGCGGACTTTGCATACAAGAGTGGAAGAATGCCGTTAATGGCTGGAAGACTAAGCTGGCTTCCATTCCTGCTGGCATGATAAGCCGCATACGAGAAATTGGTCTCCCCGAAATTCCCAATCATGCAATTTGTTACATTGGAAAGCCAGTCTGCTTCTTTTCGCCAAAACAATGGATTAAATCCTGCAAGAAATATAGAAATTAATAGTGAAATAAAACCCCGCCTAACCTTAAAATGCTCGTAATAATTACCTTCCCCAACAACTTTTGCGGCAACTACCAGGTTGCTCTCTGGTGGACTGGGTCGTTTGCTTGGAAGGACAAAATCTGGGACAGTAGAGTAAAAGTCTGGAAGCTCCGGGACACTCCGCTCGCCACCTGCTTTGACGTCCGTATAGTTTGTACAAAATGTACGAGTCACACCCTTGTGGCTTGATGTGGGATGTTGAAAGATAGAGATAGAAGTGCCGTGAAATTCACTGTTGCCTGATAGGCTTGTGGCCTTCACATCAAAGTTGTCAATTGCAGCAACGGTAAATAGGTCTTTTCTGAGATTGGAGGGGCACACTACTTTCTCCTCTAAGGCACGTTTGACAACCATCCTACATAGTTGCGATGTAACTGCAGTGACTCTGTTAGGAGAGACACTTATTCCTGTTTCGTGCATTTCTTGAACAAAATGTTTGTCTCGACTCCTTCCGTAAGCAGCAAGCCCATTGTACATAACCAAAGAAGCTTCTGTAGATAGAACGTGCCGAACTATATTTCCGTGTGGCATAGAAGCTTTCATGTTGGTAACAACAAGTTGGCACACTGTAATGAGAGGAGCAGATGCACCACATTCTGTGGGCTCTGAAGAACCATACATAAGAAAGCTTAGTGCCGCTAGAAGGGGTTCAGGAATGCTTTCTTTCTCACATGAGGGTGAAAAATTGCCATCAAAAGTTGTTTCGCGGGATAAAACGCATTTTCTTAAATTACGCGTGAAGCGATAAAATCCAATAGCATTTTCATCGTCATCTTCATAGTTCAGGATGGCATGCAAGCTAGCGCCCTAGTGCGGAGTATATACTCTCTACCTGATTTGATTGCCTCCATGTCAGGAAAGTGATTCAATATTTTTTCACGCAGCCGAGTTGTTTGGAACTTTGAACTTTGGTTAAGGAGTTGGCTGACTCGTTCACTGTACATTTTATTTAGCTTTCCCATTTGGAACACAAAGGAAGCTGACTCATTGGGCTTAGATTGCATGAAAAGAACAAGGTCCGCAAATGACATTCCCTCACAAAAAACTGAGTCACGCTCACTGTCAGAAGATGTAGTAGCTCGGCGGGTCCGGGAATACAGATTGACGAGGCAAATATTGTGGTATTTGGCAACTAAGTCGCCACAAGTTTCGAGTGTAGCTTTTAATTTGGAGTCGCCAAGGATGTCAGCACAATTTTTGACCCTGCCATATATTCCTTTGGAGGCACAATGGCGCAATGGTTTGTCCCACTTTGCCGGTTCCATACACAGAAAACAAATTTCGTCTTTCATTTTCAAAGCTTGACTAGACGATCTTGTAGAGCGATTGTTGTTTCCATCAGGGTCATTTTAATTTTGATGTTCATTTTCCTTAATTTTTATTTTTAACTGCGTGATTAAATCATCAACAGGCAAGAACTTGCGGGCGCAGCCATTCTTGTGAAACTTTGCACTTCGACTCAGTAGGGTTTCTTGAATGCCATTTCCTTCGTCTAAATCATTGACCTTGAACCCTGAATCTAAAATGTAATTGTAGGTTTTCAACTTTTCCAGATTAAAGCCAAGCGAAGAATATCCTAAATTTCTGTTTTTTGCTACAGGGTTGCTTGCTGGACATGTGAGGGACTCAGAAGTATTTTTCTGACACAAACAGCACTTTGACCATTCAATCTCTATACAATGGGCTTCCTTAAGTGGAGCCGAAGCTGCCACCGTCAACTTCTTGCTTTTCATTGTAGTGCATAACTGGAAATGGAAATAATTTCTGGTTTGGTCAGAACGTACGTAAAAGCGCCTCCCGCCAGATGTCTCAAGTAAAATCGTGGACCATAAAATACACGAGGCAATATTGATACAACGAAAAGAAATTCAACTCACCACAGATGCTGTGATCCAACGTCGTCCAGACTATCACGGTGTCTTGACACTACACAACACTATACTATTGTTTCACAGGAGTGACGGAAGGTGTTCGCACAAGTGAACAGGACAAAACAAGTCGGTACACGTTCCGACTTGTCTGTAACGGTTGCCGCCGGAGTCCGAAAGCGCACAGCAGGTTCACGGCCAGCATCGTTTGGACTTCAAAGTAAACAGGTCGGAGGAAGTTGAAACGTGTACCGACTTGTCTGCAACGGTTTATTCGATTCTGCTGTGTGTCTTCCGCAGTGAAGAGGTAGCTATGCTTCTTAATATCTTACAATAAAAGTCACCCTCCGTTACACATCGAGTGGAAAACCAATTTCTTCCAAAAATCAACCAAATATTCGTGCTCAGCGATACCGAATTAGTCGAAAACGACATCAAACTCAAAATAAAAAAAAAAAAGTTTTTTAAAGGGGGTCTGGCCCCTCAGTTTTCCTCGAAATGAGATTTTGATATTTTTTCTCGATTCAACACCATCAAATTAGTCGAAATCGACTCTAGCATTGCCATAATTGTATTGTTTTTAATTTTTCACATTTTGGTTCAAAAAATGTATTAATTCCCCTAGATATGAAAAATTTCGCATCGAATAGTGAAAACAACTCAAAATTCGATCTCAGCGACCCCAAATTGTGCGAAAACGAGTCTAAGATAGTCAAAATCGATCGTTAATAGCGACATTCTGATTTTGGGGGTACCCACCCCCCAAAAACCACCCCTAAGGGACGAATCCAAAATCACTACGGGTAAAATCGTTCAGTATGGTCCCAACATCAACTGTGCCAAGTGGCTTGCTTGTAACTCGAAATGCCGTTTTGTTTTGAAATTTTTAGTGTACCGCTAGGACTATATGCCATATCAATCATAATTACATATTATTATAACTACCTAAATTTCAAAATTCCCTTTCAAAGTGATAGTATAGAAAAATTAGGTTTTCATCTCTGAACCCGTCGCATGTAGGTACCTACTTACCTACTTGGAGTTTTACGTAAATTCCGATTTCTTGGCTCAATCAGGATCCCCTGATAGTTCCTCGAATCCTCTATTCAAAGTCACTAAAATAGAAGAAGTAACTTTATGGTCATAAATATCCATCAGCATATAAAATTATTATGAAGGAAACTGTCTTGCGACTGCTTTCAAGTTTTCGTCAATGCTTTGCACCCCCCTAGTGTGGCAAATACTAACTTTACAAACTTCAAGATCCAAATAGGCTACCAAAGTGAGGATTTAGAAAGAAAATAATAAATTTCAATAAAACCCCGACTTGGTTGAAGTCATCCAAAACCATCTAATCAGATTCTAGGATTAGTGCAAGCAAAATCAATTCAATCGATGAACTATTTTTGTGCCGATATGACCTGAAATTTTTCTCGAATTAAAAAGCCGTCGGAAGTTAATTTCTGTCTTGGCTCGTTGCATATTTTACATCGAAAAGTTTTCCAATCATGGCCAGTTTTCTAAAAAAAGCACAACAATAATTTAACATCAAAGAAAATAGTTGTTCAAACTTCATCCCTAACCTCTGTTTGTTTGTTTTATCAGTTAAAAAGACTATATTCCTTTAATCCTATTTAATTTTGCAGACGCCCCTACCTGCAAGCCAGATCAGACCAGAATTTACGGTGTAGCTAAGCAGGAAAGAGCCGAGATTGTTTGCCAAGTGGACGCAAATCCTCCCGAGGTAACTAAATTAAAATCCCAAATGTAAACAATTCCTGGGGTGGCAGAGCAGGGAAAGTGATAAAGTTGTTTTATTTTTAATTCTGCACTGAGAGGGAAGTTAGATTTGTTGAAATTTTCCGTATAGTCGCGGTTGTATTTATGGAAGAAATTTAAACCCTGGAATTGCCCGTTATCTTTGTCTGAACAGCGGAAGTAACAATAAAACTTTCTTGGAATAAGGTTGCCCGGAATACTTTATCTTTGAAGATTAAAATGTAGTTAGGGTTTTGATAGAATGCTATTTTTTAAACGTTATTAAAGATTTACTGTTAAGAATTAAAAATACCTACCAAAATGTAGATATATTCAATTTCAATAAAAACATTATCTATATTCTAAGGAGGAAACATTTTCAGGTACACTTCAAATGGACTTTCAACAACTCCGCAGATTCAGTGGAAGTGTCGCAATCCCACATAGCCAAAAGTGGTACTTCCAGTGTGGTTTCCTATACTCCCATTACTGAGTTGGACTATGGTACTTTGCTCTGTTATGCATCTAACAGGATTGGCAATCAACGGGTACCTTGCGTGTTTCATATTATTGCAGCTGGTGAGTAGAATCTGATTATCTGGTGGACTATTAACTTAATTTTCGAAAATCTGGCTATTTGCTCTGAAGAAGCGAGGATAGAACATCTTATCCAATTAAATGAACAATTATGAGAAAAATCAGGAATCAGTTCTCTTATTCACACTTTCACAATAGTTAGAGAGGATTAGTTTTTTTTTCGAAGGTTACTTGTTCATAATTATTACTACAAAGTAAATCAATGAATTTTACATTAACATAAATTTTGGAGAACATGATTAATTTTCTATAAAAAATATAAAGTCAGCAGTATTACAAACGCCCAAAGCACCCGCCGAATATGACGTCATTTCACCACAACGAGAAATAATATAATGCAGATTATTTCATTCATTATAAAATAGACCTATCAGACAACGTCATTTTTTGAATGAATTTTGTTTAAATAAGTGATTATTTCACAAGACCTTGTTTATCAGCGATTAAATTTTTGTTTACCTTCTTTGACAGAATTTTGATAGAAATATTCTGACATTTTATAATAAATAGAACTCTTTGGATAGGATTGACGCCAATAATTAAATCCTAATTATTCAGGAAATAATCTAGCCGTATACCACTCGACCTATAAATTTAAATGGATTAAACTATCGAAATATTTTTTGCATAATTTTGCTTTTTGGCAAATAGTTTCATGCACAATAACTTTTAAGCGGTCGAGGGCTTTTATTAAGTTATTGTGCATTCAACTATTCTCCAAGCAAAATCATGCTCAAAATATGTTGGATAGTTTAATCGATTAAATTTAAAGGTCTTGTGATATAATATATGATTAATAAATATTGTAACGTTGTCAGATTGTCGTAGCCATTGTTGATTTCCAAGATTGCTTTTAGAACCTGGTTTTTATCCTTGTTTATATAATGTCGCACACTCTAATGTCTGCTGATAAATAATATAACTTCTAATTTCACAGTTTGCTTTCTAAATTTTGTTTCCAAGAATTGTTTCGTTGCCCCAACAAACCTAAAGTATTACAAAGCCATATTGTAAATATTTTTCAAAACGAAAATAAAAATACAATCAAACACACTCTCAAAATCAATATAAAATTGGGATATGTTAAACAGCGTGATAAACGAACAAGGTACAAATAACGAATGAAAAATCTCATAATTGTCACTCTTGTGAACTTAGACAAGGAAAATATCAAAGATTTGCGTCAGAGCCACTATGAACGATTCTCATTGGTCGGTTATGATTGTCTACGTCTTACAATGGCGCCATTCCAGTACGTTTAAATATGTGGTAGCATTTAAAAAAAATAATTTATTAAGAAAATAGGACAGTTTAAAGCCAACTGGAAGCAAGGGTATTTTTATTGGTTCATACAACTGATTAGAAATAATAAAGCAATGAAATTAAAATATTGTGAAACTCCCCATTAGAACGATGGACGAATCTTTTAGGTTTTCTACGGCTTTTGTTGCAATTTCTGACATTTCAATACAATGTTTATTATGAAAACGAAGATGATCTTAAGAACTATTATCTCTGTACCTTATTTAGTGGTAATTAAAGTAATTTATACATCAACCTTTATCATATTTCTTCCCGTATTTTATTTAAATTACGTAACATAACTTCAAATAAAAAAGATAGGAGCAGCCACAAAACATCCCCCCTTAGAAATGTAAGTCTTATGAGAGACGTCAGTCTAGTCGTTTCAGCTTTCCCCTCCAATCACTAGAGGCGCTTCAATCAACCTATTAAAGTTTTCTTTTTCCTGCCGGACCGTGCGCCAAGATTTGAAGTTTATTTTGTCATTTCCAGTCGTCAAAATTTAAATTTTGAACTTCTCCCAACATTTAGAATTATCAATTACCTATCAATTATCAATAATTATTATCTCAAAATGTCTTCTCCCAGTTTGTTAATTGAAAAGCATCAGAAATGCTGTGTTCCGGGGTGCGGCGACAAATACAGCAGCTATTTCCGGTTTCCAAAAGATGCCGAAAAAATGAAACAATGGCTAGAAAAAGTTCGCAATCCTTTACTAAATAGCCTCAGTGTCGAGAAGGCTTATAATAATTATAGAGCGTGAACAAGACATTTTCCTCGAGAATTTATTGTTGGCGATCCAAAAGCCAGACGAGGACTCACATGGAATGCTGCGCTTTTGCTGTATCTCCCTGAAGGTAAGTTAATACTAGATATATGTGAGAAAGACGTACTTACATTTTCACTTATTCCTCCCCATAGTTCTGATTAACGACAACGTGTTAGAATTCGGGTTTAAAGGAGCATAGGTCAGAAACATTAAAATTAATTTTAATTTTAGCCCCAATTATCAAAAACAGTAAGGAGTCGTTAATTGATAAACCACAATCACCAAAATGGCAAAAAGTGGAGATCGACACAGTTGAAACTCGTCGAAGAGTCCTAAGACGCCTTCAGAAATTAGTTTCGCAACTATGATTGACATAGGTAGGTAAACATAATAACTCTGTTCCAACACGTCAAAAAATCGTCCCATGAACGGTTTCGAAACCACTCAGTATAACAATTTTAGTTTCTGCGCAGAATCGTGACGGTACATTGTACGGTTTTCTGCTGTGTTGGAACAAAGCTAATATTATTCATTTCTTTTTTTTAAATGTTTATTCCTTTATCAGGAGATACAATAATTAAAATATTCCTGGTTACATACAGGTACACCATATTCTACAATGCATGTATCCAAACTTTTTTGGTAGAATCGTTGGTAACGAAATTTCTGTTTTAGATCAACCAGGCCCTTCATGTCGTCAATTTTTATCTACTGAAACTTCTGCAATTCGGGCAGACATTGCTACACCAAGTGGAACCATCACATCTGCAAACATGAAAAAGTCACCAACCCACTTTGTCTCTTAAAACTTTTATTGGTAGGTACCTAAGTGTTATTGCTTAATGAATAACCACCCAGTTGGGAGTAGGTGAATTTTAAAACATCCTAACTCAAATAGGACTACTACTATAAAAGACTACTAATTACTAAAACTTGCAGTCGAATGCTAGAAAAATTAGAAGCTAAATGTGCGAAAAGCTCGTCTCCAATCTTGATCTATTTTTTTTTTGCAGGTCATGAGAGACGATGCCAAATTTTAAAGAACATTAACGTCACTAGGCAAAAAATTCCTATCCCCAAGGGAAAAATATCTTTATTCCAAAGTTATAGAATCCAGCAATAAGTTAAGAAGAATCAGTAGAAGGTTGTCGTCATTTAAATCCAAAGTTTCTACTGCTGAATAACTTGCATCATAAACCAAATTTCAAAGGCTCGTAGACCACGTCAATCCATTGATATACAGCTTTATTTTAAGCCAAGTCCGTACTCAAAACCAAAAGCCTAAAGCTAGACGATTTACATTGGACGAGAAGTTGTTGGCGTTGTCTTTGCTTAAAGCTAGTGGTAAAGGGTATAGACTATTATCAAAAATATTTATTCTATCATCCAGGCGAAATCATTTTCTTGAATGAGCTTTATATTATGTATAACTACATAAACTTTCTACCTAACACATGCGGAAAGTGTATTTTCTGGACTTAAAGGCTTGTTTGAACTCTGCTTTTTGTTGTCATTCGTGCAACTTCCATCACGTGCAGAAACACTTTCCTCACTTGTTAGGTTAACAACGATTTTGGATTGTGAGAAAAGGACCTCTTTTGTCATTTTATTTACGATTTAAGTTTTTCATCAAGCTATTGTTAAATGTACGTCATTACTTCTTGTAACTGTCCTTATTATCTTTAACTTAACTAGCATTACCTACCTATGTATGTATACTTACATGAAAAAAAACTGTTTCGCAATAATTGTAATTAATTCCATATTCTTTAATATTTTCTGTTTCAAACTTTAATAAATATCTAAATTTGTCATCTTAATTTTTAGTCAATTTTACCTTGAAGGCGCTTCAACACTACCGATTTTATGAGTTTCTTCTTTTTGGCACAATTATTTTATGCCAAAAAATGGTAGAAACTTTAAAGTGGTGGTGTTGAATCGCTAGAATCAAACAATGGTGCAAACGATCCACCGGAACAAATAAGATACCGAACGAACCCTAATTGCGTTTTGCATTCGCCAATAAATCCAGAATTACAAAAGCTTACCCCCCCAGTCACTAGAGGCACTGAAAACTTATAGACAGGTTCTCAACACGGCACTTACCTTTCTAAGGGGGGATGTTTTGTGGAAGCAGCTACCCAAACGGAAACACTATACACCTCAGTCGCCTGTTCTTTTTAACGAGATTTGAAGAAAAAGACACGCATAAAAAATAAGAAAGTCGCATGAAAGAGACGAGCTTTGTTTCCTGGCAATTGATTTCACCCCGGGATAAAACATTCCATGGTGTATTTCAAGGGAGGATTGGCAGCAATAAAATCTAATGTTAATGGTGGATTTATACAAACCCTTCGACCTTTCCCTCTGGTATTTAGCATGGAAAATATTCGGCCTCCCTGTGGAATAGTTTGGATAACGTAAAAGAAAAAAAGTCAGCTACTACCGTTTTTCGACTAGTCAGTTATTTTAGATAGCCTGCATAAGAAGGAGGGTTGCTGTATATTTGTATCCATTATGCCAGAGGGAATTGCGCATATGCTCGGAATAGGAAGATTTGAATTTTTGGGATGAATAGTTTATTAAAACTTTGGTAGCATAAATATTTATGATCCTACTTTACATATGGATTTTTTTTATATATTGGTCCGATCACAAAAGACAAAGTCTATGCTACCTAAACGGTATCATGTGCGGAAGAAATTAAGTGACGATTAACCCTCCGTTTGAACACGTTAGGCCGGCCGTCCATTGGATGCGCAGTCGTACGACTTTACGGTCGTTCGTAGTCGTCCGTGTGCGTCCGACTAATCCCCTTACATAAAAATAAATAGAACTCCCATCCACTCCACACGAATTCGGTCGCACGACTTGATCCGATTTCATACGACCAACAACCTGTCCCATTTGA